ACATTGTTGCACTAAAGGGAATTACAATAAAGACTACACTTAACAAAGTTACAATATGTTATATTATCCTAAATCTAGGAGTACTTTCTATAAGTCACACTCACTATATATAGTATGTTATGATAACTTGAAATGTCTACCATATGAGTGTACGATATATTCCTTTTCCCATCGATATGGTCAAGATGGATGCTTCCAAACCTATTGTCAGGATATGTACTTACGTACTCTTTATGTAGGGATATTAAACAAAGCATATTATATCTGTTTGTTTATAGATCGGATTTGAAAAAACACATTCTACAGAAATTCAGATATGATGTTAGCTGTGTTATTAAAAGGACAGTTCCAAATTTCAAGATACCCTAGTTAACTATAGGATACAAATTAATATAAAACATATGCTTTCAAATAACATCGCTGACTATTGATAATTGAAAGTAAATCCAAGGATTTACTGATATGCTGAAAGACTAAGTTGGATACCCATCTTGATGACAAGATATATTCTAATCAAGTAAATGCTATACAGCAAAAATATGCTCAGCTCTGTGTCATTATTTTTGTGATATGCGTTTGTCAGTATAGTGTGTGAATAATTTGGTAAAGTGTAACTTTGATATGCAAGAAATATGTCTGATAAGGAATAACACCAGCCAGTATATTCCAAAAGACAACTGATATTTCTTGTGAGGAGTTTCATACTTATGCAACAAGTGAAAGGTTTACTTTGTACTTTTCTAATGTTAATGTTCGTTTTAACTTATATGAAACAATTTGTTGAAATGTGAGTAATATCAAAAATGAACATTATTGTACGTTTTTTAAGTACTCATTATAATTGCATAAGCAGCAACATTTTTGCGCAGTACTCGAGTCTCTATCCGGTAAAAAATTCAAATGTATATACGGACTTTTTATACTCATTTTTCTAACTTTTCAAAACCATGTGCTGGTACAGTATAAGAAAAGGGCTCAAGACTATCAGATTATAGAAGATGATAAAAACAATGTCTTAACCGATCATCACATTAACGTATCAAAGAAAATGTATTCAGAAAAAATATTTTTATCAATCAAAATAGCATACAGCTTTAAATCCAGACTTCAGAATGTTAGTTATGCTAAATATTAGAGTGACTTTGGAAATACCACAATATTTTGATATCTGTCTACCACGAGGCCTAAAAATACAGAGAATTAGGGGATCAGGGTTCATAAGCCGTTTTTCGACCTTGAACATAACTCAAATTTCAGGTTGACTGCACGTATGGAATTTTTGCATTTAAATATGTGCATTTTACACTTTCATAAACATTTTCTTTTTTACTCTAAACTTTATTGTTCTTCAAAAACCCAAGGGTTGCAACTTTTTCCAAAATTCATCCATAGTAAGATCTTAGTATATTCGGTGCCCTTATGGACCCTGATCTTTGTGCCCGACTTCTTTGCAAGAGCTTTTTGATTTTGTTGTTTGTCTAGAGATTGACATGCATGTTTTATTTAAGGTTTCGGGACCCTACAGATATGGAACATTGAGGTATTTTGTCACTCTTGCTAAAATATAAGGTTATTAAACAATATTAAGTGCAAGACATTGAAATTGGAATACGAAAAGAGTGAACAATCGTATTTTATTTTGATGACGCAATATCTTTTAAGTGAAGTGCCTTAAATCTTCAGTTACCTCATATTTATAAGTTCAAAAATATTGCGCAAACTATATTGTTTACTACCCAAAAACTCTGATTAAATTATAAGAGCTTTTTCACCTTCATAGCTCAACACTGGAGATCACAAGTCAAATTAAGCGAGAAATATAATGCACCATACAGGGTGTTTCATTTTAATCTTAAGCCGCGCATTCTTGAAAAAAGTTTTAAACAAAAGTTGTGGGGTTTCGTGGGGGAAATGATGGTGACCTTGACCATGATTTTGACCGCGATCTTCAATATTTCCAAATGGAACTCGTCCGAGTATGACCATGACATGCAAGGCAATTTCAAGGCCAAATCAAGACATTGAAAACAAATTGCTCTGGCGAAAATGTTCGACAGCACAGTTGTGAGCTGCTTTCTGCAATTTTGGCATAAAAATCAAGGGGTTTCCTTACAAATAACTCTGCAGACTGACATGACATCGTAACATTTCCTGCTTGATCCAATTAAAGGATAAAAAATAAGTTTTTTTTTGAAGATTTTGACTTTTCCTTGAAGGTGTCAAATTATTTGCAACGTCTTTACTTGAGCTTGAAATGTAAATGATGGTCGAGGTCAGATTCATATCTGTATGTGTAATTTTTTCCTCTATAATTCAGGTGTAAAACAGGGGGATTCTGTTTAAAAATATTTACTTAATCTTGAAATGGTGAAGGTCATGGTCAAGTCCGGCATCATTATTCCCTCACGAAAGCCTACAACTTTTGTTTGAAACTTTTTTCTCTAGGATGCGTAGTTTTCGAAATATTTCAATGGGGAATTGAAATGGGACACACCCTGTATATCACCTGCCAAGCGTTTGGTGAAATTGAAAATATTAACTTGGATTTTGGACTACGTTCAGAATGCTAAATAAATATTTTCATTTCAATGGATTCGTCGAGTTAAATTGACCTGGACCCAAGATGGACCACAAAATATCGATTTTTTTCGAAGATGTCTTCTTGACATGCACGATTTATTTATTTCACTTGTTGGCCAATTTAACATAGTCGAATGAAATAAAAAAGTGAATCTTGATAATTTTTAGGATATTTCATGAGGTATTCTTTCACTGAGACGATTTGTTAATAATCCAGTCACAGGAAGTTAAGGTTTACCCTTTTAGCTTTTGCAACGGACTCTTATTACCAAATCTGCTGCAAGTTATGATTTAACGGCACTTTCATATACACCAAGAACTCGACGAATACAACAATGTAGTTACGAGTTTAAAAAATGATTGATTTTTGTCATATAGGGTGTTTCAAGAACAGGCTAGGTACCGCACTATTTGAATAACAAATGGACGACAATTAAAACGATCTCTGTAGACTACCCACGTTTTGAGACACCTTGTATAAACTTGCGGTTCAAGTTCTTCAAGTTATTACACGGAAATATATATATATATATATATATATATATATATATATATTTGAGAAGTGGTCATTGTCGTCTAAACCAGTTAGGTGAAAAATTAAAGCTTCCGCCTTTTGTTGGGTACTTCGACAAAATTTAAGCAAAGAGGACTCTTTATACTTTTTTTAATTCTCTCTAGCTTTCAATGGACTTTGCCATCATCATCAGGAGCTGCAATTACAATGATAACAGTAGCAACAAAAGTGTAAAATGAATTTAAATTGAATCAACTTACAGTAGTATGTGAGGATGTTGCTAATTGTTGTTTTCGTATAGGATGAGGGAAACGTCCAGTAACATGGTGAGAGCTGGATACATGGTACAATGGTTAAAATTATATAAAATATGACAAGACAAATTAAAGACAGAATGTTTTCTAAATAATTTTTAATCAGTCTTTAACTTGTCTTGTCATATTTTATATAATTTTAACCATTGTACCATGTATCCAGCTCTCACCATGTTACTGGACGTTTCCCTCATCATATACGAAAACAACAATTAGCAACATCCTCACATACTACTGTAAGTTGATTCAATTTAAATTCATTTTACACTTTTGTTGCTACTGTTATCATTGTAATTGCAGCTCCTGATGATGATGGCAAAGTCCATTGAAAGCTAGAGAGAATTAAAAAAAGTATAAAGCCTCTTTGCTTAAATTTTGTCGAAGTACCCAACAAAAGGCGGAAGCTTTAATTTTTCACCTATATATATATATATTTTTTTTTTGGCACTTAGTTTTCAACATATATATATATATATACGTATATGTGCCAAAAAGTTTGATAAAAATACTTTACAAAAGAAAAACATATTTTGTGTTACACCCAAAATTTGAAACCTATGATTTTCTCATTCAAATTCATTATAATATAATAATTTTTATTAAATTTGTTTTATGCTTGCATGTACGTTAAAATTAATCCCAGTACCTATAACTGATATTACTAATACTTGATGAAGGTAAATTTGGAATAGTTGTACCCGAACTAAAAGTGAAAAGCTCAAGTCACAACACAAGTCATGACCAAAAATAAAACATCATACACCTGACCGCATTTCAAGGGGGTCTTTTATGTAACATTTTTTCCTCGATGGTCTCATTAAAAAGATACGGGATGTTGACGTTTAAAAATGAAAAAAACATTTTTTTTAATATCTTCAAAACCGTCAACTGGAATGTGAACCAAAATTTGGTACGTAGATTTACCTAAGTATTGTCCACATTCAAAAGTATTTACTCAAAATTATCGTGCACCAGTAGCGGAGATACAGGGGATTAGTGGCATTATTTTTACAAAGAAAAATAGTACGCCACTGTTTTTTTTAGAAACGTGCAATTTTTCGAATTATACCTTCGATTATCCACAAATAATTACTCTTTTGTTTTTTTCATAGAGTGCACTGTTTTCGTAAAAATAAAAATAAAACAAATTGTATCATTCGTGAAAAGCCGAGATACAATTGATTTCAAAATAAAATAGGAGGCCTTGATACCAACTTGGCCGATATTATTTTTGTGTACGGGTTCTGTAATGGAAATGTCTAACCGAAAGGTTTTTACTAATTTGTTTTTTTTAGTTTTACGAAAACTGTAGAAAAAACACAAGAGTAATCATTTAGAAAATTGTTGGCAAAATTCGAAACATCGCGTGTTTCCAGAAAAACAGTGGCGTACTATTTTTATTTGGAAAAATAATGCCTAGTCCCCTCTATCTTCACCACTGGTGTACGTTAGTTCTGAATATGGACAACACTTAGGTAAATCTACATACCAAATTTTAATTTATTCCAGTTGACGGTTTTGGAGATATTAAAAAACATTATTATTTATTTTTAAACTTCAACACCCCGTATCTTTTTAATGAAGCACTCGAGGAAAAATGTTACATATAAGACCCTGTGTATGATATTTCATTTTTGGCCACGACTTGTGAATCACCCTGTATAGACTACATATAGTAATAATATGCATCTAAAAAATAGACAGTGGCGTGCTATCTGGATATACGTACAGACTGATGCATGGGGAACATTCATCAGAAGCATCTAGTCGGATATGTTTCGCTTGTTTTGGGGAATCACTGCTATAGTAAAAGGAGATGCCATAAGGGTTTTTTTGGGCCTAAAAATAACTCAAATTTTGAGCTGATCGCATTCCAAACTTTCATCGACGATTTTTTGTTTTAGTCCTTGGAAGCCCAAGATTTGCAATTTCGGCATTTTTGTCCAAAATTCACCCATTTTCCAAAATCTATTTCTCTATTTTTGTAAGGAACACGAAAATTGCGTCACCCTAAGCTTTTAAGAAACAATAAAGTATTAAAATAAAAAGATAAATTGTATTTATAAAATTTCAGAGTGCGATCAATTTAAAACTTCGAGTTAGGTTCAGCACTAAAAAGAAAACAAATCCTTATGTACCCCCATCTTTTGAATCTTTCATCGAGCAGTAAGACTCAGTGAACATCTTCAAATGTTTGTCATGAATGCTCATCATGAATTAGTCTGTATATCACCACGAGTTAAATGGGTGCAGCAGAAAATTTGTTTAAATAAATCAGAACGAAAGCTATACCTGACTTAGTAGATAGAATGTTGAACCAAACATTGGGCAACATTGACACACATTCTACTATGTACCTGAAAGTGCTGTTTCTGAAACACCCTTTGAAGACAATTAGACGGGAATCTTAAAATGGCCGACAAATACATGTAATAGATTGGTTTACGTCTAATGTACATTTAGTTTGTACAAATGTTATCGTCAACCACAGCAATTGATCCTTAAGATTCCCAAATGTTTCAAGCAAATAAATGTCACAGTAGTTCGCACTTACATCTAACGATTATCATTACCACATCATTTTCACAGAGTTCCAAAAAGGTTTCTGAATAAATATATATATTCTATTTTTGCATCTCTGTTCTAAAGCTAAGAGCTACACTTAGGATATATTTTACAGTAATCTTTGATAAAGCCCTAAATAATTCTGTGGAGCTGCGTTATTATAGCAACATCTAACTACCCATCTACGGTGGCTTCAGTTTGTGTTTCTTCTATGGAGTTTATTGTATTCCGCTGCCATATACGTCCTGTGAAAAAAAATCGTTTTAAATATTTGAAAAACTGATATACAGGGTGTAAAGTTAGTAGTGAATCAATGAAATTTCGAAAAAACGGGATAATGATCTTTCAATCGCAATTACAACTAAACCATCAGGTTTAGGGCTGCGATTGTTTTTCTGAGATCAGCTAAATGGTTAGTTTTAGCAATGGTAATGTTATTTTTTAACAAAGCTTATTAAAAACGGCATGTGACCTCTTCTGTCAGACCCAAGAGACAGCGTCCTGTCAGGAGACGCATTATGTCCCTTAGTAGCTTTTGGCATGTTAATAGTGAAAAAACAACTTTCCTGCCTTTGCGTGCGCGATAAAACCTGTATCCACCTGTAGGACCTAACATGGAATTTGGTTTCAGTTATCAGTTACCCGTTAGCTGTTCAATGCAACACTTAAAAAGACTGGGAGCCTGCAATCTGCGACCCGTGCACTTTAACCTTCATAACTTTTTCCTGCTTTTATTCAGAAATATCTTTTATGATACTTACACACACCGCAAAACTTGCAGCTATCAAGTTTATTGTGGACCGAAATGCTCCAGTAGCAGTGTTATCACGAACCATAAAACGCTGGGATGGTTTAGTACAGTCATTTTATTAAAACGCGGAAGGTTTTCGCGGCCATCATCCAATAATGTCCGGTTAGACCGTCGTAAAACATTTTTACTTGACGTTTCGCCAACACGAGTGGTTGGCATCTTCTGAAGCGACAAAACCATTTCCAAAGTAGCTTCACAAAAGTTTCTAGATCTACTCACTGTTAAAATAAATGACTCAACTTCGAAGTCACAATTTAGATACTTGGCGACCTCAAATATTCCATTTTTTAACCGAGTTTTTAAGCATTGGATATACGGTAACACAGATCAAATTTGTTACAACAATATTTAAAAAAAAATTACAGTTGTTTTTCGCGGACAATTTTTCCAGGTTTTTTAGATCATTTCGAACAAAAAAGGTTTCGATTGACAGGATGACAAACAAAGCAGTATAATCAGAAAACCAGAACCGGCATACACGTGGAACGTACTAGCGGCGTAGTGAGTGATGGGCCAACAGTGTGTGAGGTTGAACGTACGTCACGTGACAGGATGCATGGGCGTCGTGCGCGATCGGAGCCTGCGTAGTTTGTTTATGTTGACATTAAAAGTCGTGCTGAAACATCGTGCCGATTATTGTGGCCAAGATCAAAATTATTTATTTCTCAATACGCAGATCTTAAATATTTCGAAATATAGAGCTCAGTTGTCAAAATGACACAATGAAATTGGCAGGATACATTTTAAAATGACAGTATTGTTCACCTTAGGAGATAACTTATACCTCATTCGTAGTCCATTCATGTCCAGACAAAACAAAACATGCCCAAAAGCGAGATCGTACAGGTCTGTATTTTCCTCAATGGTTTTGAAATAATCTAACAGAATGAATGATTATTTTTATAGAAAGAAGCGCACAGACTTTTCACAATTCTTTATTCGCTGGAAGTGCTTGGATCATCGTCCTAATGGTTAATATTAATTTTTACAGGTTCAATATCGATCATATTGTCCAAATCCCACATTTTTGTTCCCATTGTCTCTTAAACGTGGCGGATGCAATCTTTCCAATGGTTGGCCGACACTCTGTTGACAGATTCATAAAACAAATTTTTCACGTCAGACTAGATGGATAAGTTCTGCTTTGATCATACTTTCATTGAAACTAATGTCTTTTGTTAGGAGTAATTGTTGAATTTCTGCCTTTCTTGTGGATATTGTGGGAATTTTTTCTAGTTTTCTAGTGTGGTATGCAGCATTATCAAGTACAATGACGGCATTGTCGTCAAGCTTTGGGAGCGTTTCTTCAAACCATAGTTCAAATGAACTCCCGTCCATTTCTTCATGGTAGTCGATCGTTTCCTTTGACTCAAATGCCCATAGGGCAGTGGGCACAAAGCCATCTTCACTGCCAATGAGACAGATAACAGTTTTTTTCCTTTTCCTGGAAATCTACCAGATATTAGCTGAGTTTTCAGCGTGGGCTCATAGATTCAGCCTTTATTCGCCACCACGCCTGTCAATATAATGAATTTCCATTTCAGGATGCTCTAAAATTTTGCTCTTATAAACGTTAAGGACGTAATTTATTTTGCCTGAATATTCAAATGTCTCTTCTTGTCACGTTTTCGGGTAGGAGACATCACTGCAGAGGAAGCGTGCCTGAATGAAGCATTGGGACAAATATTCTCAGTTTCATCTGCTCTATCCGTAGACGACATGCTAACGTATAAACACACGCTCTGTATGCACCGAATATGAACAGCAACTGCCGGCGATACCCCGAGCCTGAGTTCTATCCTGTCGAATCCTGCACTTGTTCGTAGTTTTACGACCGAATGACCAATAGCTATTGCAAGGCTTACGCGGCTGCCGCTTTGCCGCGCTGCGTCTTTGTTTAAGGTCTATTCACACCGGTCAGTATTTTTCTCCGTGCTCTGACAGTGCAGTTGTGGTCACGTGAGGTCGAGATGGCAACATTTTCAGAGGATGAACTTGCAATTATTGCATTCATTCTGGATTTTTTTTATACTCCGATTACCACGAAGGCCTAAGGCCTAGACACCGTGGTGCTATAGGGAAAAGGGGGGACGCCACACGGACTCTGGCGAGGGAACACGTGTACATGCAATATGCACACATTCTGGCCCCGCCTACGAGATCCGCCGGGTGGTACCTCCGCGTTCGACAGTCAGAGACCGTCTACCACCTACGAAACATGAAGAAGAAGAAGAAACGGTATTTTGATTTTGACTGGTTCTATAGCACGGGATGTACGCGTACAAATTCAATTAGTTTTTCATCATTCATGTTTTTGACCAATTATATCACAATATTCACGAAATTACATAAAAACACGGCCGTGAATATCGAAAAATATCGTTCCAAAACAATGCGATGATCACGACGGCGTCGTCGAGGGCACTGAGAACACCGCCACTTCCACGTGCCGGTCTAGTGTGAATCAGTTCATTGAAATTCCAGGAAGAATCTTTTTAGTTTCTCCGGGCGGATCACGTGACGGTCACGGTTGAGTATGAATAGGCCTTTAAATGGACTACGACTAGGGGATAGTGCTATTTCATTGCGGTAAATAATGGCGATTTCTCAGGTTAGTAATGGAAAACATCATTTTATTGTGTTCTATTTTTTTGTTAGTAGTATAAATTGTGCAATAACTTACATTATACGGTGAATCAAATACCGTCGGCCTATAGGACGTCCATCCTGGGGCCGTCCTTGGACCGGACCTGCTGTACACGTAGTCATTCTCCGGCGCCATACCAAACCGAGCCATGTTTGATGGTTGAGGAACGAAACTGGGGTATCCTATTAGCGCAGCTGTTGAGGGCCTACCGCCCCTGTTCGGGGGCTTATCTTCGTTACTTTTGTCGCCGCCGCTGTCGTCTGGATTGCTGTCGGCGACGTAGCCATAGTGGGCGTACAGCCTGCAGATAACAGATTTCAATATCAGGACGTTGACATCCTATATTCCTTGAAATATACAAGGTGTTCCTTAATGATATGCGAATATTTAAGGGTCTGCATCTACATGAAAAATTAATGTTAGTTTGCTTTATAAACTATGGTCCAAAAATGTTTCCTTACAAAAACTCGGGGTGTTGAAGAAATGGAAATTAATTAATATTTTCAGAACTCCATCAAATATTTCACTGATATTTAGTACGTAGTGAAAGTTAATAAAGTTGCATATTTTTCAATGCAAAAATAATTTTTAGCTTCAACAGTGGCGTGCGTAAGGGTATTGACTTCGATATTTTTTGAGAAAAAACTGGCACGCCAATGGTTTTTCGCCAAATAAAAATTATTTTTGAATTCCCCGTTTAATTTAAAACAAATAATCCCTTTTGAATTGTTTTCCTTCAATGCGCCATTTATGCGTAAAAAAATAAAAATCGTTCTATTCGATGAAGTTAGACCTCCATCGAAAAAGACAAGCCCGGAACAACTGTCCATGGTTGGCTGTCTTTGGTCAGACAAACGAAGCAGCATGTTCAAGTTAAACTCTCTGAAAAAACGTTAGTTACGAACATTTACAAGGGGTACTATAAAAGTTTTGCAATATGCCTCAACAAGCATACGCAGGAGGCTGCATGTTGAGACATGTCCATGAGTGCATGGTAGCCGCCAGCAGCGCGTCTGTTGATTTAGCATAGACCAGTGCTTAATGAATGATTGTCCTCATCATACGACTATATTCAGGTGGTAAAGAGAATTCCAAAGGGGCAATTTCACTCTTGAGGACGCTGAGAGGGATGGAAGACCGCGAACGTCAGTGACAGAGGAAAACATTATTGCTGTGAGGAAAACGCTTGACGAAAACCGAAGAGTGACATACCAACAGATAGAGGGACCTTACACCTTCATGCACCAACAATTCATTCAATTCTGCATTACCATTTACACGTAAGGAAACTTTGTTCTCTCTGGGTACCGCATCACCTGACGGAAGAGCAGAAAATGTTTGATAAGCGGCAATCTCGGTACGTGGACAGCATCGTGACGGGTGACGAAACGTGGCTCTATTATTACGGGGTGCCGAGCAAGACTCAAAACAAAGTTTGAGTCCGGTCTGTTAAGAAAAAAATGATAGCTGGATTTTTCAAATCGAGCTGGATTGTGTAGCGTGACGTTCTGGCCAATAGGTGCGTAGAATTACCTGGGCTGGGTAAAGGTAAACATAATTCTTGCAGATATCTCGGAAATGGGGCATTTCGCAACTTAATAGACCCCGAATTCCATTTTAGGGACCCAAATAACGTATTATAAGCATGGTAGCGCTCACTTTCCCGACTGACCCATCCTTTTTGTAACGATCACTGGTCACTGAAAATTAAGACCGTACTCATCTGCTCGGTGAAAAAATGTAACCGATACTTTTGGATGCTATAGTTACACTCTTTTTCGTATTTCTTGGCGTTACGCCAACGCATTAGCGTGGGCCGATGCTATGACCTCCCGTAACTAGGTGGGGTGGTATAAATGGATCAGTATCTGTGTATTCTAGCTAGGTATGATGTTATCGATCGTGAGGCGATGAACATTCGAGCCAACAGGGCCGGTACTAGATTATGAGGGCAGGTGAAAAGGAAAGTCCGACGTACATTGACTCTGGCCTTCCTACAAAAAGCTGTCTTTAATTCATAAAGGACCCAACTAGCAAAGTAGTGGTATAAGTATAAGTAAAAGAACCTTTCAGCCATGAAAGCTCTCTATTGTTGTTGCCTGAATACCAAAATGCTTTCTTAATGCTGTGTGGAATGCAGATTTACTTTCTGCAACATATTTGCTCTAAAATGAAGTATTTAAAATGTTCACATCAAGTTGCGACTGATTTAATCATCCTTGAGAAGTCCTCTGATATTCACCAGATGTCCTTCCACTTTGACAATCCCGACAGCAGCGTTGATTATATCTTGGCGAGTTGCCATATCCTTTTTGGTCAACAGGATCCATATCCGTTAAAATACTTGTCATACACGGACCAAAAAGCACATATTTCAAAATGGTTTGACATATAAACTTAATGTTTTGATAACGTAGCCTACGAAGATCACTTTGTTCACTCTCAGCAACACTGATCAACTAAGCATTTTCAAAGGGGTCAGCGGCGTAACATAGGGATTAACCCTTGTATACAGGGTGCCTTCGAAGATGAGTCATTTATTTTAACAGTGAATAGATCTGATCAAAAGAAATGTTTTTTTCCTTTAACATTTTTCTGGTAAAATTAAAGTAACAAAGTTATAGCCCTTTAGAAGTTTGAGTAACGCCCTGTCTCAATAATAATATTATGTGCTCGTGTTTGGCAACAACGGATATAATCCGCCTTATCGGATCGGTTCATCGCATCGGAAACAAACAAGCGAAAGAATTTGAAACGCTTATCACGATGTTTTTACTACAATTTTATTCAGTTGTATTCAGACAATGTGTCAGTCGGTAACACGTGAGTGAATAGTGGTGTTTGTTGCGTGGCTCAAACGAAATAAAAAATGGCACATGTTTACGAAAATGCTGAACTTGTGGACATGATTCTTATTTACGGGGGGGGGAGTCTTTACAAAATGCTACCGCGGCATCACGAATTTATGCGGATCGGTTTACCAATCGAGTGCAACCAACCCCTCGTGCCTTTGTTAATGTAGTACAAAGGGCTCGTGAATCAGGTGACTTAAGACCTCACAGGGGAGGGCATGCCGGTGCTCCAAGACCTCACGAGCAAATACAGGTCCGCACTGAAATACTTGTCGGGAGGATACTTTATAAAACAAGGTAACATTTTATTTTTTATTTTTACACACATATTTTGGTTTATCTTCCTTCTACAATCATTATCTGAAGATTAATGACTCAACTTCAAAGTCACCCTGTATATGTGTAGAGAAATATAGGGTTAGTTTAAAAGACGGCCCTGAACTAGCGTTTGCAGCAAAGCAGGAATGAATGGAAGATGCTCAGGCTTAAAACTGTCACAGACGAAACTGTGGTAGGTATAAAGACAAAGGACTAATTAATGTAGCTTAATCGCAACTCAAAAAGATATCCGTTCTGCCTGGCTTCAGGAAATGGAATGCTCTATGTATATAATCAAGGGATGCTCACTAAAGCAATGGAGGGGAGTCAAGATTGTATGTTCAAATCATCAAGGCAAACAAGTTGTGAACTTCCGTTGTGCTTGGAAATATGTATTGATTCTACAACCAATAAAATTAGAGCCGCCAAAATTATAATTTACCATTCCGGTCGTTTAAATTGCATTATGTGTTGAAAAAACAAATTAACGGTCACCCGGGAACTGACAGATTTCTTTTGTGCCGAAGCAGCCGCATAGGCAGAAGCCTAAATACCAGCAGCTGCTATGAAGGGCTTAAGGAACTATTAACCCAATTTTTGAAGTTCCTAAGTAGGAAAAGCGTCCTCAGTTGAATTTCTCCACAACCTCGATACCCTACAGTCAAAGGAGATGTCGTATCGGCCAGTTCGGAATGTACAAAACTCGGCACGGATAGCATGGGAGGCCGAAGTCAGGAGTGTCTGACTGGCAGGCACATCGCGCGGTAGCATCATGGAGGAGAGCTGTGAGGACATAGCTGTAGAAGAGAGCTGGATCCCCGACGGTGCGAAAAGGGTCCCGAGATCATCCGTTAGAGAAGTCGCTGAACAGCATCGAGCATGGATAATCCGGCAGCATCTCAAACATGTGAGCAGTATTCGAGGCTAGATCTTATCTGGCCCTTGTGCAGTGTGAGACAAATTACTTGTTTGTCCTAAACAAACAGCCTGTCGCTATTGACTAAATGTGTTCATACCAGATTAAGTCCTCCGTGATCTGGACTCCGACCAGCCGAAATGAGCGGCTCTCTGGTAGAACTCGCCCATCCATCCAGACCGGATGAACAACAGGGTGCTTAGTCAAGGTATATAAATATAAAAGAAAGACGAATAGTTTTGTAGAAACTTAGCTGAAAAACAGGACTGTCTATGTTTTCGCAAAACGACTTGTCTTTCTTTCTATTTACTCATGGGCCTGTAGCTATAGCTGGAATCCGTGACGATGTTAGTTAATGCCTCGTGAGCACGAAGTCCTTTGACCGAAGCCACAAATGTGCATGCTGGCTTTTGTTGGTGGCTTCTAGTTGCGTTCCCTTTTCATCCTTGTTTTCCTCAGGTAACATCCGGATCCATATGTTTTCACTTCATTGTTTTCGATGCACATCTATTAGGGCCTGACGAAGCCATTAAGCAGAAACGTACGTCGCTCGGGTTACCAATCCTTCTATTTCTGCTCCTGTTCCTTTATTGCCACGATTGTCCTTTGTTTTTCATAATTATATACTGAGTGACAAAAAGGTAAACACCTACGTATGTTTGTTAGAATTCAAGATTTTTTTACAACAAGTAATAAAATGGTCAGGTTTTTCTGTTTTCGTAAGTAAAAAGTGTGGGGTGCATCTTCGATATTTTCATAACTCTCCTTGCCAACATTTAATATATCAAACACCTCACGCTTTCAACTATGCATTGAATTATTCTGTTAATAACTTAGATTTGATTATAATTTTATTTTGAGGTCATTAATTATGATTGAGCGTCTACTACTGTAATATAAACTCTTGTAATTAAAAAAATATTTTCAACTTTTTAGTTCAGTCAGCTATAAAAGCGTTTTTTTAGTTTTTTGAACTATTAGTCATTTTAAACTGCCTGTTAGGTGCAGTATTCTAAATCCTTTTTATATGACTATTTCATTTCGTGTATAGAGATGACCAAAAAAAATTAATAAGTCTCTTGTTTGTCAAAAAATGCATTTTTTGTGCATCAGACGAAAAGTATTAAGAATACTCCTCCAGAAAGGCTGTTGAAAAAGGGCCTTGCGACGTTAACGACTAGTTATTTTTCGTTGCAGTAAAGTCTCTCTAATGCAGGTCCTCTAATGCAAGTCCTTCCTAAACGCTCGGCACACCCGTGACCTGCGCTTATGCGGAAAAAAGAATGAGCATCTCGGATTTTCCTGCAAATTTTATAAGATTGCCCCAGGGGCCTGCAAGTGTTATAATTTATGTGAAGCAATTTATTTTTCCACCGCATTTGAGGTGATGTGGAAACTCCGCCTATTATGCGGAAAAACGGTGACGGTAAATACGGTGTATGTTCGATTGGTTTCCATGAACCACGGCATGAGTATTTAGGCAGCAGCGGTGGCCGCAGTGGTAGACTCTTCGGTCTCCTGGTTAGTCGCCGTGCGCTGCGCGGGTACGAATCCCGTCACAAGAGAAATTTTTCGCTTGGCTATGGATGTCGTGATTGTCCGTGACTGTCGAACGCGGAGGTACCACCCCGCGGATCTCGTAGGCGGGGCCAGAATGTGTGCATGCACACGTGTTCCCTCGCCAGAGTCCGTGTGGCGTCCCCCCTTTCCCCTGTTTCCCCCTAGAGGACCACGGTACCCATGGGTGTTTACGCCTTGGGCTTTCGTGGTAGTTGGAGTATAAAAAAAGTTCTCGATGAACTATGTCATCATCATCAGGAAAAAAGCAGAAGAGATTGTTCGATGTTATTAACTAAGTTGATGAGGACAGTCAGTATCTATACTGATGAGAACAGTTCAAATTTATAAAATACACATAACTATAATTTTTTGATTTCGTACAGTTTGAACAATCTTACTATTTAATGAACTAGACTAACCTACGCAGACTGCGGTGCCAGTTTTAGGTACTGACTCATATTGGCATATTACATCATACCCTTTCGTATAGGAATGGCTCATTTCGGAACATACACAGGCTGTAAGTTAAGGAACGTCCCAACGTTGAGGACAACCCGTAGAAGATTTCCACACAAATGATCCCAAATACCTGTACTATAATCATAATTACAAAAAAGCTTGAGTGTATTTTATCAAGTGCAATTTCATCTCTCACCTGGCTAGATTTCGTTGGTTCTCCCTGGCGGCAGCCTCCTCTTGGGCCCTTTGTTGTTGCAGCTCCTTCGCTCTTTCGGTTTTAATTAATTCCTGCAAAATTTAATTAAACTATCACAGGTTAAGCGGTATTATCTGTGGGCGTATAGGGTGCTACACCTACAACAGTGAGAACTAAGATGGGGAAAAGACCTAATGGGTGATAAAGGTTACTCTTAGCGACAATTCGCCTTTTTTGTACGAAATGAAGCCCATTTGTTATTATTATTATTCACTCGAAGTTCAGCGCAATTTATATCCTCCAAGAAAAAACATGCACAACAGAGAAATTAAATGGTTAAAGTCAACCAAACAGGCCAATACAATTAATCCAGAGACATTTTTTACTTGGCCTACCGGTAGTCACTGTCCATCTGGCAACACTGTCTCTTTCCATATCTCGCGGCATCGCTAAAAAACCGGACCAGTTCGCAGAGCGGTGAGCTTAGATTGCAGCAATCGAAGACGTTATCTATTATTCAAAGTTTTCAAGGGGGAATCTAAGATGTGTGAAATGTTTATATTTTGCCATATAACACAGGCAGTATTGCATAGTGGTTACTATACGATGGTATACTCTCATCTGTCAAGAGCCATAATATGACAAAAATAGGTAAACACCTACGTATGTTTATCCGATTTTAATAATTTTTGTCATATATATTCAGTGTCCCTTACTAGTGAAATGATTGAATTTTCAGCTTGATTCCATCCTTCCATGCTTTTCAAACCACTGATTAGCGATGGCTCGAGTACTACTGAATCTGTCTGTCAGAGCTGTCAAGATAAATCGATATGTAGAAAATTCATATGAAGCTAAAGCAAATCAAGCACTTTGGTACTGTTTTTGAAATGGCCCATTCGAGCAGCCGCCAATTGCTAGAATATATTCTATGTTTTGTAATCTACCGCTTTCTCAACGTAACATCTAGCGTTTCTGATCTGACAGGATTGTTTGAGAGTTCCTGTTAGCTGTGCAAAGACCACGGCGGAGTGCCCCTGTAAAGGGTTTATGAGGATTAAATCGACAACGTCTCCGGGGAAGAAGCTATTAGGAATCCGATTATCGCCAATTACCTGAGCTGGTAAATATTTGCTGCCCCGAACAATTTATTCTTTTTAATCATTCAGTTAAAACACCGCCAACGCCTGGATAGAATTCAGATATTATCCGGTTCTTTAATTCCCTTCTTCTTTGTTTCCATATTAGTGAGAACTTTGTGAATCAAGTACTATCTATGAGAAAACAAGCATCGAGATATACCCTCGTGAGGAGGCCATTAAGGCATCCTAAAATCGTAGGAACGACTGACGACACGCTGTATCAAATGGCTGGAGAGTATGGACTAATTGTATGGACCTGTTTGGCTGACTTGATCCATTTAATGTCTTGAATATACATGTTTGTAGCTATCTCAGAGGGACTAACTTGTTCCGAACGTAATCTTTCACGGACTGATGACAGCATTGTGTGGGAAGTGCAAAGTCAACCTACTTGAGGTTAGTTTTCATGTGATGCGTAGTTCCTTAAAGATTGTTTTTATCGGTAACGCCAGGCTTGTAACTACACGACAAATCAGGAAACAAAGGGACCACTAACCGAATTCAACTCAAACGCGGCAAATACAGCAAAAGAAATATCTCGAGGCATTTGGAATTAATTCCTCTTGAGGCAGGCTTCTGACGAGTAAATCTTTGCTTTTGGCTTGTGGTTTCGAACTGCTACTCCCCCAGTTTCCTTGTTCACTCCTTTAAGTTCAAGAATCGATGGTAAATATACACAGTGACAAAGGAAAATCCACCGACAATTGAGCCAAGTAAATTAATTTACTCTTGCTGATATGATTAGAATAAACATAGTCTGTTTCATAATTTCATTTCACTCCAAGTTATAGACGGGATTAGCGGACAGACAGACACACAGACGTACGTTCCTGACGTACATGTCATGAAGCATTCAAATACGTTTTATCTCATTTTACGAGCTACAGTCCAAACGACTTGATGAATATATACAAGGTGACTTCGAAGTTGAGTCATTTATTTTAACAGTGAGTAGATCTGATCAAAAGAAATGTTTTTTCATTTACCATTTTTCTGGTAAAATTAAAGTAACAAAGTTATAGCCCTTTAGAAGTTTGAGTACCGCCCTGTCTCAATAATAATATTATGTGCTCGTGTTTGGCAACAACGGATATAATCCGCGTTATCGGTTCATCGCATCGGAAACAAAAAAGCGAAAGAATTTGGAACGATGTTTTTACAATTATTTTATTCAGTTGTATACAGTCAGTGTCAGTCGGTAACGCGTGAGTGAATAGTGGTGTCTGTTGCGTGGCTCAAACGAAATCAAAAATGGCACATGTTTACGAAAATGCTGAACTTGTGGACATGATTCTTATTTACGCGGCATCATAAAGGGCTCGTGAATCAGGTGACTTAAGACCTCGCAGGGCATGCCGGTGCTCGAAGACCGCACGATCAAATACAGGTCCGCACTGAAATACTTGTCGGGAGGATACTTTATAAAACAAGGTAACATTTTTTTTTATTTTTACACACATATTTTGGTTTATATTCCTTCTACAATCATTATCTGAAAATTAATGACTCAACTTCAAAGTCACCCTGTATAGGTACTGTTCAATTCGTCCTAGCAGTGCGTATATATTGTGACAAATAGGCGCCATCTGTTGGGCGAGTCACCTACTCGCCAGAGCTCAATGGCCGATCTCGACGGCACAAGCCGCTTGGCGGCGTCTGCGAGGACCGTGACAGTGGACCGCCTTCTAGATCGACGCGAAGTGACCTCCAATATTCTAGATGTCGCTTTGTGGTTCAGCCGGCCTTTCTCGAAGCAGCAATTGGGACTATATATAACTCGGCGGCCGGGAGATGGAAGCACAGAGTACTGAATACGGTAGAGTAGCAGAGCGGAGTGGAGTATAGTGAAGTCAATGGCGACATAGGAATTAGTCAGACATAAGTAGTGGTGTATATAAATGTTCTATCAAGGTAAATAAATTAGTACATTCCTTTTTGTGGAATCCAGTGTTTTAATCCACACCCAAAAGAACCCAGAAAAACGCTACAGTATTAACATTTTTTAAAATCAAAATGGAGGTATTTTTACGCAAATAGCCAAATCAGCTTAGTGAGCTTGGGCATTTATTCGCACATTGCTTATTTGTTCTATTAGTTATAGGTCTAAGTGATTTCAAATATGTATTTTTTACGACTAGAGTGTATCTAAAATGTTTTTGAGAAAATAAATTGTTTTAGAAGGCATATTTTGGTACAAATCTACAAAGTGGGCCCACTGAAGTGGGAAGGGGCTCGTATAAGGGTTCATTTGATAGGTTTTGAGGCCCTGTATCACCTGACTTCCGTTCATCCTCTACTAACTTTACACCTTGTATATGGTGTTACTTGAAAATGACCCCTGGTAGATCCAATTGTGACGCGCAATGTAATGATATATGCAACGTACAAACTGTCCGTCAATGGACATTCATAATTCGAGGCTATCAATGAACACGTTTGATTCAGTTTTGGTTACAATGGATGCGAATGTCCAGTCATACGTATGAACATACGTCAGTTACACCGACATGTCGTGTCCTGTTTTTCAAACATGAATGATGTTCCTTCTATAATGCAAATGTATGATATACGAGTATAGCTAACGGTATATGAAATGCAATCAATTTGAAACGTTTGTTCTATATAGATTACATATGTTACACATGATGCCTCTGGTTTATATACAGGGTGTTGCTTAATAATATGCGAATATTTAAGGGTGTGAAAGCAGCTCAAGAGAGATCATTTCTTTTAAATTGAAATAATGCCTCATCCACCGTATTCCCCAGACCTGGCCCCCTGTGACTTTTTCTTGTGGAGATAAAGACGGCATCGAAAATTTTTCAAAATGCTCCGAGGATTGGAAAAAACGTTATGACAAGTGTGTAATGTCTGATGGGGATTACTTTGACGGGGACAAAATAGATATTCATGAATAAAAGAATAATTCTTGAAATTCGCGATACTTTTTGAACGAACCTGGTATGTTATTCAATGGGAATACCATGCACCATACCTAAAGTTATATCATCTCTCTACACGTCAGCTCACCTTAAGATGCTGGAAGCTCCCAGTTTGAGGAGGAAAGCCTGGAGAAACGAAGTGTCTCCCACCTGGCAGCCTGAAGGTTGTCAGCTTAGCCTTCGTATCAGGCGACTGGGGGACCGAATACATTTTCGTAAACTCTTCGAAAAATTTCTCTCTATCTACCGAATTCGCGATCTTCAGAGGATGAGGGTTGTGGACAAGCCTCCCGTAGATGACGGGTCTGTTCCTAAACCGACCGAACTTTTGCCTGCAACAAAACGTTATAATCACTAAGTAAAATGATAATACATTTTTAAAAACTAGCTTATATTAAGCTCCTTCATCTGAAGTTTTCAAATTAAAGCATGTTACACCTCTTTCCAATCCTGCTGTTAACACGTAAGACAAATTACATCTCATTCATAAACTACCAAGATAAATGATAAAAGTCATTCGATATGAAATAAAATGCACTGTGATCGAATAAAAAGGGGGAACCTCTGAGTGGCTCCAATTATATTTTTCATTGTACGCTATAGTGGAAGAAAAAGCTTCATCCATTCAATCCCGGCAACAAAGCTTGTAGCCATTAAAAAAAAACGTCGTCCGCACGTTGGAAAACAGTTTCTCTTTCACTTTAACCAACAGGTATGCTGAGAATATTAATTTCTTCATAAAATATCACACGCATAGGCGGGGTGAACCAGTTCTCAGAAAGGCACGTATATCAGCAGAGGTCGGCACATCATATAAATAAAATACGGAGTGACTTTGAAGTTGAGTCATTAATTTTCAGATAATGATTGTAGAAGGAAGATAAACCAAAATATGTGTGTAAAAATAAAAAAAAAATGTTACCTTGTTTTATAAAGTATCCTCCCGACAAGTATTTCAGTGCGAACCTGTATTTGATCGTGCGGTCTTGGAGCACCGGCATGCCCTCCCCTGTGAGGTCTCAAGTCACCTGATTCACGAGCCCTTTGTACTATATTAACAAAGGCACGAGGGGTTGGTTGCACTCGATTGGCAAACCGATCCGCATAAATTCGTGATGCCGCGGCAGCATTTTGTAAAGACCCCCCCCCCGTAAATAAGAATCATGTCCACAAGTTCAGCATTTTCGTAAACATGTGCCATTTTTTATTTCGTTTGAGCCACGCAACAAACACCACTATTCACTCACGCGTTACCGACTGACACATTGACTGAATACAACTGAATAAAATTGTAGTAAAAACATCGTGATAAGCCCTTTTTTGTTTCCGATGCGATGAACCGATAAGGCGGATTATATCCGTTGTTGCCAAAAACGAGCACATAATATTATTATTGAGACAGGGCGGTACTCAAACTTCTAAAGGGCTATAACTTTGTAACTTTAATTTTACCACAAAAATGTTAAAGGAAAAAAAACATTTCTTCTGATCAGATCTACTCACTGTTAAAACAAATGACTCAACTTCGAAGTCACCCTGTATATTATTACAATTGAAATTGCATGCCGCTTGACATTCATGTAGACAATAAGGATTTTTTCGCGTGACCACGGTGTAGCATAGTGCATTCCCGGGAACCGATACTCGAAATTTTCGCGAAGAACGGGAATAGGGGAAGACGGATGTGACGTCGTCCGAATGTCAAAAAATCACGTGGTACCGGTACCCGACTAACGTGTGTGAGGTACTAGCGGGTGACAGGTCTTGTGTCAATTTCATTTAAAAAACAGGCATCTCAATTGAAAATTTGTCTTCGCAGTGCCGAAAATTGAGTTAAATTATTAAATCATAAATGGAGGAACACGTCCACCTGATTTTAAATGACGAGGTAGAAGGTCATCAAAGATATATGAACCGCACAAATGCTTGATTTCATTGATATATATGCACATTGCACAAAAAACGATCGGTCTTTTTATTTCAGATTCAAAGAAGGCAGCTAAGTTTATCAAGGAGCATAAGCAAACTTTTTGCGCAACATGCGCCATCTAACCACTCCCGTTGTAACTTGAAACTGTCAAAAATTCGAGAGGAAGGGGAAATTCCGTCTGTTCCCGCTCCGGTTCACTACGGGATCTCGCGAAAAAATCTCTAATGTAAACGTAGAAAATGTATACAACAGCAAATGTTAGTTCAGTTATGTCGCTTGCATACTTCTAAGTTGAGTCATTTATTTTAACAGTGAGTAGATCTGATCAGAAGAAATGTTTTTTTCCTTTAACATTTTTGTGGTAAAATTAAAGTAACAAAGTTATAGCCCTTTAGAAGTACCGTCCTGTCTCAATAATAATATTATGTGCTCGTGTTTGGCAACAACGGATATAATCCGCCTTATCGGTTCATCGCATCGGAAACAAAAACGCGAAAGAATTTGAAACGCTTATCACGATGTTTTTACTACAATTTTATTCAGTTGTATTCAGTCAATGTGTCAGTCGTGTTTAGTTGCAATTGCGATTGAAAGTTCATTATCCCGTTTTTTTCGAAATTTCACAAAAATGCAAATATCTTCTGAACTAATAAATTTCGGACCACACATATAGGGATTCATTCGATATGTTTCAAGGCCCTCTATCACGTGACTTCCGTTGATCCAGTAGTAACTGTACACCCTGCATATGCCTAAACGCCTATCACTGGATCTCAGTGTGGAACTGCCGATGGATCGGTGCAAACAATTGGAGGATGGAGCCAAAACAAATCTAAATAAGACAGTGGAAAGTGCCATCAATCACACCAGAATCAAAATTTGTCTAACGCCTACTTTCCAAGATGCAGTTTTTCGCGGGACACCCTGTACACTGAACTAACACACCAACGCAAAGTCCTTAATATCGCTAGTGCAAGCTTTCGCTTTGAGATTAAAATCGTTTAGTATATAGAAGACGGTCCTTCGTCGAATATCCGTGCCCACTCACGAAATCGCAGAGAAAATTAACTGTTCCAAGACTCCCGAATCCTTAGCACCATTACAGGAAGCTTCAGATTGCCCGGAGAGTCTTTGCTGCTATTCGCTCAGACAGACCTGTGGCATTTCCGAGGCGAACTAAAAAGATTGTGATTTTAAATTTTAGTTTAAATACTCAAAATGATAATTTATTTGTAGAAGAATCGAATTTTATTTTTATTGCTATTATTATTATGATAATCATCATTATACTAGCTGACCCGACAAACGTTGTCCTGTCTTAGCTATGAACTGAGATGAATAATGAATAATGAAAGGTTATATATATATATAAAACCCCCCCTCCAACTTCGTGTCCTCAGGTTACACCGGTATCCGGATGTGTGGGCATGTGTATCTACTATTGTAGTTTCATATGTGCATTAATTTCGGGCCTGATGAAGCCAACCAGCAGAAATACGTATCGCTCGGGTTACCTATCCTATTTGCTGCTCGAATCCACTTTCCTCCTTTTTGCGGATTTTGCCCATCAGGAGCTGCAATTACAATGATAACAGTAGCAACAAAAGTGTAAAATGAATTTAAATTGAATCAACTTACAGTAGTATGTGAGGATGTTGCTAATTGTTGTTTTCGTATAGGATGAGGGAAACGTCCAGTAACATGGTGAGAGCTGGATACATGGTACAATGGTTAAAATTATATAAAATATGACAAGACAAGTTAAAGACAGATTAAAAATTATTTAGAAAACATTAGAGCATTACGTCGTGAAGCCACTTGATGATTGCACAAAATGGTGGTCATGGAATAATGAGTGAGATGAACCTTTGACAGAAGGCCGAAGGTTGTCAATGTCTGTGTTGAAAGATGGAACGAATTGTGGGCGTGTGCCAAAATGTTGCCAAATCACTTCAGATGATGTGATTTTCAGAATGTTATGTAAGAAATTGTTAAACCGACCAGAGGCAGTTGAATAAACTATATTTTAATTAACGGGAATTTTAAATTAACAATTATTAATAAATCGTGAGAAGAAAATGATACAGGGTGTCCCAATTTAGACCTAAATCTCAAAGTTGTGATTTTTCAAATGAAATGCCTCAAATTTTATTACACATTTGAATAAACAAATTCAAAACAAGACAATTAATATAACATTCTATAAGGTCCGTGAGGCAGCGGAACCATGCCGTTTTTAGACAGAAACTGCCAAACAGAGATGGCTGTGTGCGCAGTTGCATTATCGTGATGGAAGAACCAGTCTCCTGACTGCCTCAAACACTGCTTCGCAATCGTCTTAAGACCTCCAAATAGCACAAGCTCTCTCTTTTGTCGATTCGGGCAGTTGATGGACGTCCAGAGCGAGGTTTGTCATCAATCGACATGTCGCCATTTTTAAATCGAGCAAACCACTCGTATACCCAAGTTTTTCCCATAGCATCATCTGTGTAAGCTATTGTCAACATTAAAACAGTTTCAGCAGCATTTTTACCAATTAGAAAGCAAAATTTCACAGCTGCACGTTGCTCACTGAATACGACACAAACACGAAACAGCTCTAGCAAAAATGATGATTACAAAGGAACGTCAACTCAGGTGGCACTGAACTGGTAATGAGTACGCCTCTAGGGGCAGAAATGTGAACTACACAAGCTCCGACCACTGCAATGCTACTCCGGTTATTTTTGGGTACTTCCTCGTATATTAATTGGGGAGTAAAGGAACCGAACTAGTTTCGATGAGTGGTCGAGCTTTTCAAGGAGAATACCTAATCCGGCTTATTTGATCATTGAGGAGATAATTTAGAGTTGAAACTTCCATGTTTCGAAAAACTTAAGCCAAATTTGAAACTTCCTACAGATATTACTCAAAAACATCTACGTCGTCTGAAAGTTCCGACATCACCGTCAGCTCATTCAACAAATCTTCGAATGGAGTTTTCCATTAATACCGTATCTCCACGGTTGTTTGAAACTTATGGCAGAAGAAAAATCACCCTATTCACTCTCACCTTTGTAAGTCCACCCTTTCATACAGCCCCCGACTAAACAACGAAATAGATCTCGGTTTGCCCTCCGGTTTTGTCGTTTTATTGATCAGATCCAGAAGGGGTTCGTGGTTTCACGCTTCGGCAAATCCGGCTATTCTATTACTTTTTTCATTGGGAAAATTCGAATTTCGCTTTTCCGGAACGCTAGTAGGCGGATATATAGAATCGTTGTACACGGTTTGACAGCGAGTTATTGAAGGATATACACAGTCGGATTAGTTCTGCAAGAAATTTATTCGTTTCAATATTTCCGCACTATC